AGGTGGGGTGAGAGGCCAGGGCTGGCAGTGGGGGTTGCAGGGGCTGCTCTGTGCCAATGGCCCTGGGGCACCTTGCCAGGCTGTGCATGGAACAAAGACACAGCCCAGCCCCTGCTCTGCTGGGCCCTCAGGGCTGTGCCAGGAGCTCTGGCTGTGCCAGGACACTGCTGGGTGCCCCCACCCTGCACATTCCCACTCTGAATGGGCACTGGCATTTGCTTTGCCAGGGCATCCCTGGAGCACATTGCTGACAGGGACTGTGGAGAGAGAGCCAAGCCCTCCTTGGCTGCCCTCAGGAGATGCCCTTTGCTGATGGCAGTGCTGGTGTGGAGCCCAGCTCTGTGCCAGCAGTGCCCAGGGCCTGTCCCTGCCTGTGGTCCCAGCACTGACACACAGCAGGACAGTGACTGAGCTGCCAGAGCACTCAGGCCTTGGACAGGGACAGCAAAGGAGAGGGGGGAGTGCAGAGAGAGCAGCTCTGGAAAGACCCAGTTCTGGTGCTCCCTGGCAGGGCTGGGACTCTTTTCACCTCCACATCTGCAAACGTGGAAATGCCCCCTAGCTTTAGGGGAGTTCTTGGAGGAAGGGTCAGGGAAAAAGAATTTATATTTTCTTACACTCAGAGATTGTGATTCCTTGTGTACAAACTATCACACGTGGGTGTTTGACAAATACTTTGTTGTATGAACTTTTTTTTTTGTTTAAATGAACACAGATCAGGAATCCAGATAAATACATTTTGTGGGCCAAAGAAAAAGAGGGAAAGAGTGAATTATATATGGCATGAAGAAAAAGATTTCAGTGTTAATGACAAGAATAGAGGGAAAAAATAGGAAAACCCCCTACCTCCATGACTCAGTAGTATTAAAAGGCAGACTGGGCCAAAAATATATTACACAGTGAGTGTTCTGCAGAAGAAAAGAGGCAGTTTTTTTCTCCTAAAAAACATCTAGTGATCATTTTCCTTATGGCATCCTTGAGCTCCTGATTCCTCAGGCTGTAGATGAGGGGGTTCAGTGATGGAGGCAACACTGAGTACAGAACTGACAGGACCAGATCCAGGGATGGGGAGGAGATGGAGGGGGGCTTCAGGTAGGAAAATATGCCAGTGCTGAGGAACACAGAGACCACGGCCAGGTGAGGGAGGCACGTGGAAAAGGCTTTGTGCTGTCCCTGCTCAGAGGGGATCCTCAGCACAGCCCTGAAGATCTGCACATAGGAGAAAACTATGAAAATGAAACAACCAAATGCAAAACAGGAACTAACACCAATGAGCCCAATCTCCCTGAAGTAGCCTGAGTGTGAGCAGGAGAGCTTGAGGATCTGAGGGATTTCACAGAAGAACTGGCCCAGGGCATTGCCCTGGCACAGGGGCAGCGAAAATGTATTGGATGTGAGCAGCAGAGCATTGAGAAACCCAATGGCCCAGGCAGCTGCTGCCATGTGGGCACAAGCTCTGCTGCCCAGGAGGGTCCCGTAGTGCAGGGGTTTGCAGATGGCAACGTAGCGGTCGTAGCACATGATGGTGAGGAGATAAAATTCTGCTGAGATGAAGAATACAAGGAAAAAGGCCTGAGCAGCACATGCTGTGTAGGAGATGGTTGTGGTGCCCCAGAGGGAGTTGTGCATGGCTTTGGGCACAGTGGTGCAGATGCAGCCCAGGTCTGTGAGGGAGAGGTGCAGCAGGAAGAAGTCCCTGGGGGTGTGCAGGTGCTGGTCGCAGGCTACGGTGCTGAGGATGAGGCCGTTGCCCAGGAGGGCAGCCAGGGAGATGC